TAGTTATATTTGGATTATATTGACTCAGTGATGGGAGTACATGTTTTTTATTCTTCTTTTTTGAAAGAAAGAAACAAAATACACAGCAAGTACACCTGCAGAGTATTAAATGAAAGCTTCCATTCTCTGTGGGGAAATGTATGTTTATTTGTGCTGTGATCCTGGGGTGCGTATCTGTGGCATTGATGTTAAAGATGACAGAAGAGATGAAAGGGACTGGTCTTGTAAGTCAAATGACACTGACCTGCAGCCCTTAACCTTCTTTTAATTTATGTCCTCCTATCCCAAGTCTTTGCTCTGACCTAGATTCTGTGTGGCCCAAAGGTTCCAACAAGTTTTTCATGCTCTATTTCTATTAACCAACCCTGTTAACCTCCTCTCCCTGCAGTCAGTCAACCTGACTATTCTCAAGGGATAAATTTGTGAACGCTTTGACCTGTACTTTTGAAAGGTTATTAATCCATGACATAAAGATCTTAAACATGCTGAAAAAGGACCGTTCTAGAATTAGAAAACTCATCCTTTTACCAACTATGCGTTTTTTGTGAAGTCTCTTTACCTCTTTGAAAAACAATTTTCTCTTCCTCATGAAATGGAGGTTTCTCAGACATATCAAGCCCACTTTGCCTGGAAAGTCAAATGCAAAGGCAGAGCTGAGGTAGACAAACACACCAAAGCCAACGGTCTTCTGACCTGGTTACAGGAATAATAGGCTGTGGAAATCAAGCAGTCGATAGGTTCCCTCTCATCTTTCTCTGTATGTGATCTATAGAATGTGTCTGGAGGTGGCATTTAGTAATGTCCATGTAATGTCTTGAAGATAGAGTCTATGTCATGCTCATGTGCCTTCAGTGCCTAGCACAGTACCAGACATAGGGTGTCATTTAGTAAACACTAGGTGAAGAAGGAGTGAGATGTCCTTTCTAAGTTCCATTAATAACAGTTGCAGCAGATTGAGCACCATTTTGCATTCAGTGTCAGAATACTCAGAGACCACCTGAAGCAATGCATGGTTTCCAGTCTGAGCAATAATTTCTCATCTAAGAAGTGAAGGTGATGACATGTACCTCACAGTTTTTGTGAGGATTAAATGAGAAATACTTTCCAAAGCAGCTGGTTCAGATGGTAATTAAATGAGTTGAACTGAAAGCAGCTTTATGCGAGTAGAGATGTCAATTCTGATCTCTGCCTCTCAGCCTTTCAGGGAGGAACTGAAGTAGGGGAAATCAGGCCTGGGGTTATAGGGTTAGTTCCATTTCACCACCAACTTCTAGTGGAAACTTGAACAAGTCATGAAACATTTCTGAGCCTCTTTTCCTGTCATGAAGCAAAGTCAACAGTACCTGCACTGCCTACCTCACAGTGTCATTTGCAGTTAGTTATAAAGGGAGATGACAAAATAAGATAAATAGTTCTACAAATGTAGTGATTTAGTATTGGTGGGGAGAATAATGGGTGGAGACTTATAAAGCCTGGCTCTGTGAATGAGGCTTACTAAGCCACAGTTTCTTCCTATACAAAATAAAATGGTTTAATTAGTTGATTTTGGTGCTTTTCCTGTGAATAGTGATGGATCTGTAAAAATTTTCTTCATGTGCAAGCAGGATAACAATTGTGGCATATGTAGAATTTTAGAACTTATGAGTAATAAGAATACCTTTCACTAAAACTTCTGCCCATCTTCTGGATAATTTCTGAATTTTCACAATTCTTCTTTCCTATAGGAGGAGCAATACTCCCCCTCCAGCTTATGTCTCCCATTTCCAGCTTATGTCTGTCATCCTCATCCCTTTGCTAATGAGTTCCACTTCTTTCTCTTATCCAGTTTTGGTGAGATGGGGAGCTGGAATAACCGGAGATCAACTTGGGCTGTTTTGCAATTTTGCCTAGGATTGGTCCAACACATCAGTAGGTATATCTAGTTTATGCAGCCATAGCATTAAAAATGGGATAAAGATTTCTAGATTCTGCAACCATGACAACCACTTCCAAGGTCTTCATTCTTTAAATGCCATGCCTGTAGTATCTGGGAGGGCCTTAGAGTTCTTCCTATTCAGCCCACCCAGTTTTTATATGGGAAACTGAAACACAGAGAAACAGCTTGCTAGAGGTCATAGTGATCTGGACAAAAAAAGTCCAAAGTTCCCACAAACTGCATGCCATATCCTTTACTAGAAGTTAACCACCGAGAAAATAAAATCTGGCACTTCCCCCAGAGAGCAGTGTTCACTGTGAAATCTCCCCTTCTGAATTCTTACTACTTTTCAAATGGAACCAGAGATGGTTTTGTTTGTTTATTTTAGGTATGACATCATATGCTTTTAGTGCTTTTAACTGAGAAATGGGGTGGAGATAATCTTACTTGAGTTCATATCATTCCTTCTTTCTTTCAGCTGACTTTACTGAGGGTTTATTCTATGTTCTTCTAAGGGGGCAAAAAAAAAATACTGGATTAGGAGCTGAAAGATGCAGGTTCTAGTCCTGATTTTAACAGTGATTCACTATAAGAACTAGACCAAGTGAGTTATCTTCTCGGAGCCTTAGCTATCCCATGTCCAAACTCGGTGAATCCAGAAGTCTAAGGATGTGTGATTCTTTAGTAATGAGTACTTTCTGCGGCCCATCCCTGAGGATACACATGGGCATTCTAATATGTCAGTCTGGGTTGCCTGGCGTTGTGCAGGCTTACGAAAGACGCCTCCACACTAAGGCCCTGGGTTAGCGTGGACCTTGTCAGTGAGGAAGAAGGGAGTTGCTGTGGTTTTGGAGCAGCACTACTATGTCTCATAACCTTTTCTTATCTTATCCCTGAGAAAGCTTATGACATATTCCTTCCCAAGTACACCAGTGCTCTGAACCTCTGGTAAATGAAGGTAAATTAGAATCATACCACTAAGAAAAGGAGCCCTGGTGGCTCAAGGGTTGGTGGTTCAAACCCACCAGATGCTTTGCAGGAGAAAGACCCGGCGATCTGCCCCCATTAAGATTTGAGCCATGAGCAGTTCTACTCTGTCATATAGTCACTGTGAGTTGGAATCAACTTGTCAGAACACAACCACCACCACCACCACCACTAGCGGTATGGTAAAAAACAGAGTCAGATCTAACTGTCTGGGCCCCACGAAAGAGTTATAACTTTGGCATGGGAGGACCCTTCCTCTACAGAGACTTCTAGAGTGCAGATATTGCTAGGAACCAGTGAGGGTGAAAGGAACAATAACCACATCAGCAAGAATGCAGGAGTCACCAGGTGAGAAATAGTGAAGATAAGACAAGTGATGTGAGTGGGACAGAGTCAAATTACCACAATTTAAAGATCACCTCTGAACCAAGAGCTGTAGCAGAGCTGCAGCAGTGCAGACCATGCTCGCATGAGCATGATAGACTGAAAGCACCAAATGGGGCCTTCAGGCACTGATTTTTGCCATTGACATCTAAGGCGTGTTGGATCAGTCTTCCTTGATTGTTCTTTCTGTCTTCACCCTTCCTATATGCCCTACCAACTGGGTAAATGCCAAGAAAATACAGGTTGCAAAACAAAGAGAGAGCTGAGGTTTATAGAGATATTGTGTTCTCCAAAGCTCACATTGCTGGTCCAAGAACTCTACATTTCTGTTCTATCAGTGGAGACACCTGTACAGTTGCTTTTTCTGGTAAGAAAACCTCTTAGATTGACTTAGTTACGGTCATATTAGAGGTCTGTGGTCTCTTATGCACAATCCTAACTCCTGCTCCTAAATTTCTGAAAACGATCTTTTTTTTTATAAGTTTGTGGCAAACTCATTTGGTGGTAAAACCTGACTCAAATTGACAGGATATGATTTGTAGTCTTTATGTGCTTCACTTAGGAGTATTTATATGTTTGGTGGCAGCGATGTGAATGTGTTTGCTGACAAGATGCCCCCTAAACCCTGCTGTGAGTAATTCACAATTTCTAAAAGATGCATCTTCTTACCATTCTGAAACTAGAAAAATTTACGAATTCCAGGAACATCTGGCTCCAGAGGTTTTAGATAAGAGACCATGAGTCCATAAATTGTTTCCCTTTGGAGTCTGGGTGGCAGGAACAGTTAGGCGCTGACTACTAGCAGAACGGTTGGTGGGTTCAAACTCGCCCAGAGGCCCCTGGGAAGACAAGCATGGAGAACTGCTTCAGGAAGGCCGCGGCTTTGAAGACATTATGGAGCAGCTGTGCTCTGCACACGTGGGGTCACCATGGGCGGCATCAGCTGGAAGGCAACTGAGAACAACAACAAACACCATAAGCAGCATTAATCTCTTAAAGAAATTGTCTCTCCTTCCCTTAAAGGGAAAACAAAGTGAAGGGTGGGGGAAGCAAAACAAATATTTGCAAATGGTGGTACTGCAAATTGGCTGTAGCTGGAGCTTTTCAGGTCTGGATCTTTAATAAAATAGATGTTTTGAAAGACAAAAAATTTTTGAACTGTACCTTTCCTTTAATTAAAATTTAAGAATCACAAGTTTTGCTACGGAAACAGCATCATCTCAGCCTCCCTCTCCCTGACAGTCTGAGCTGCCAAAGAGGTGCTCATCAGAATGTGAGTGTGACTCACGGAACCACAGTGCCACCTTTCTTCCAGATTTAAAATTGAATCTTCACACTGCCACTGGCTGTTTTTCCTGCTTAACCATTTCAAACAGCAAGGCTCTGCAAGAAAACAATACCTTGTGAGAAGTCTTGACACTCAGATCATAAAGGAAGAGCAGCAAAGAGGGCAAGAAAATATGTTTTCTTCTCTTTGATCCCTGAGCAGTTAAACTGGTAACCTAATGTGAGTGTGGGCCATAAAACTTATGTTTAATTAGTTTGCACCCAGCAAGCCATTGTACATGCCGGACGTTTTAATTTACACTCTACTGCATTGCAGCACTCTTCTAGGCCTTCTGCTGTGTAATAAAGTTATTCTAGCTGCTCAGGCTTTAAAAATATAAATGCAATCTCTTAGTTCAGGTTTTTTTTCTCTCTTTTCAATTTTCAGTTGCAGATAAAACATGCGGTTACAGAGGCTGAAATTCAAAAATTGAAGACAAAGGTAAGAACTAATACATGGCACCTGAATCGTACTTTTAGACTCTAGATACTATGAATAAATTCAGCCGTACAACTAAAGGATTTGTTCCTGTGCGTTGAAAAGAATACAAATGGTACAGATTCGTTTCCAGTGTTAGATGTGTAGACACACCTGCCAGTGATAACAAGATTCCCCACTCTCACCCTCAGTACAAATAACATAGTATTTTAAGATGTAGGTATTTACATAATTACACATATGTAATTACCTCTGAACTTTCCTCGACAAGTGATATTTTTAATGATCCAAGCATCCAAGTATGTTTCAATCACTAATAACATGTTGTTGTTGTTGTTATTTGCCATCGAGTCAGCCCCGACTCATAGCGACCCCTCCTTGGGTTTCCGAGGCAGTATCACTACGGAAGTAGGAATCCCCAACCTAAACACAAGCTATTATACCATACCGCCTGGTTTTTATTTACCTTATTTTAAATACATTTAATCATTTATTTATTTTAAACTTATCTGTCAAAAACAATATACTGTTTTAACATAGTGCATACATTATTTGTGATAGACAATGTCAAATTTCTGGTAATATTACAGATTTGGTATACTACTTGTGCCCATTGCCGTCAAGTCAATTTCAGCTCATAGCTACTCTATACCACGCATGATTGATTGGAGGTGCCAGGTGCTGCTGGAAACTTTTAGACACGTTTAGTTCACGTCATTTAAATTTGTGGGAAAAACAGATCTTGAAAAAAGGGAATATGTATTTTTGGTCTATATAGAGAGCAATAGAAGACACAAAAGGGCATTTTTAATTGATACGTTATAAAATACTTGTATAGACACAATTCTAGGAACTGTGTCAAGTTTTATCAAGAAAGTAATTTCAAGGATTTAAAATATCTTTTGGATTACTTTTAAAACAGTATTCTTTATTATTTTTATGGGCTTTTAAAAATTAGAACTTAATTCCTCCCCCACCACTAATGATCTGTTTTCCTGTTCACATTGAACACTTTGTTGGTTTTTCCATGTGATTCTGATGAAGGTGAATTAGCAAGCCTATTTGCAAGCCTATTTTGGTTAAACGTTGTTCTCTGCTAATACACGCTGTAGCTCTTTAGTCAAAACATGTCTATACATCATTCATGGTGCCATCCCAGCTCTGTGAATAGTAATTTTTAAATTAGAAGTGGTTGGTAAATAAACAACTTGAATGTAAAACATTGCTTACTAAAAGATGCATTTAGAAGCCTAGTCCTGTTTTAAGTTGATATTATTTCTTGACGTAGAATGAGAGGATAGAAGTATTTGTGTTTTGTTTTTAATCGTTGGTTGGAATCAGGAAAAAAGATTACTCTGTGATTGTAAGTGCTTTAAAGGAGCTTATGTCTTAGACTATAAACACTTAATTTAGAAAAGCCTACCTACTAGCATTTTATATTTTTTTCTTACTGTGTTAACATGTAGTATAGATTAGGTTTACTTTACAATAACTCTTTATTATCCATGTTGATAATGAAATCCCAGTTTTGAAATGTTGGAGGTTACTCTTTTACTCTGTAACCTGTTTTGCCAGTGTATTTAGTTAAAAATATATATACAAACATATATAGATTTCCATTTGCTGAATTCTACATGGTTATAGAATGTCTTAGATTTTTAACATTAATAGTTTATAATGACTCTGTATCCTTTTGAATTTTAAGGGAGGCTTGTGAAGTAGATGAAGCATTAGCTTAAGCATCAGACAGTTGTGATTAAGTGACTTTTGACCCTTCATGCCATGGCTCAGCCCTTGAATCTCTGTAGAAGTGAACCAGCTGAAGTGGTATCCTATCTATTCTAAGCTTCCCAGGAAGTGGAAACAGAGGAAGCTACTTTTTTTTTTTTTTTTTTTAATTTCATTGGAGGCATTTAAATTAATCCAGCAATGATTTATATTTTTACTTACATTATCTTTTATACAAATATGAGATTCATAAGGCTCCAGAAATTCCTAACACAGCCAGCAAAATAATGAACTACGGACTGTATTCACGTCAATAGAAATGAATAATATAGTAATATCATCAAGAGGGTTAAAAGCAAAGTCAAAACAGCTAACATTTACTGGATGATTGTTATGTCCAAGGAGCTCCTCCAAGCACACTGATATCACAGTTCTGTTTTATAGATGGTATAGTTAAGTCTTAAGAGAACTTCAAGATCAAACAGCCCTTAATGGCAGAGCTGGGATTCAGATCTAAGCTGAATGGCCGCACAGTGCCCGCTTAGGGACTAGGCCATACTGAACTTCATCCCTTCCATTCTTTACTCATTTCTTAGTTATTTTTTTTTACATATAATTGCATAATTTTCTTTGTTGGTTACCAGGAGTGGGAGGGGAGGGGCGAGAACACTGTTAGATAAGTAGAGGTAAGTATTGATTTGGGTGAAGAGAAGAGCAATGTACCAAATGTGAGTGATCAACATGGTGGCACTGAGGAAGAGGAAGATATAGAGAGGTACATGGGACACACAGATAGCAAAGATGAACACTTTTACACATAGAGTACTGAGTTGTCAGTGAAAGCAAACATGGGTATACAGGTGGGTAGATGGGTGGACAGGCTGAACTATTAGGTATGCGTATGCAGCAGGAGTGCACCCAAGACCATATATAGGGTTGGCAGACAATAGTACTATAAGTGTATTTGTATGATCTGTAAGAATTCCCAGGTGCATAGTAGAGCTGACAAGGGACAAGTTTGTAATTACTTCTTGGTCACAGCCAGCTACCCAGAAGGATTGAGTAGTTGAACTGGTGGGCTCTGGACCATAGTTGCAGGGGACATCAAGCTCAATTGACTGGGGCCATCAAGCTCAATTGGCATAACATAGTACACAAAACATTGTTCTGCCTCCTACTTTGGTGAGTAATGACTGGGATCGTAAAAGCTTGCAAGCAGCCATCTAGATGCAACGACCGGTGTCTGTTCATGCAGAGCAAAGAAGAATGAAGAAAACCAAAGATTCATGGAAACAGTCCATCCTAGTGACTGGTACACCATGCAATCCACAGCCTATATGACTGTGAGACCAGAAGAACTAGATGGTGTCCGGCTACCACTGTCAACCACTTGGAGGGGGATCTATGTCGGAGATCCTCAGTAGAGAGGGAGCACAATGTGAAACAAAACTCAAAATCATTTGGAAAAAAAAAGAGGGGGGGACACCAGGTTTGCTGGTCTGATAGATCCTGGTGGAACCCCTGAGACTATGGCCCCTAGCTGTCCTTCAGGTTTGGAATTGAACCCATTCCTGTGGCTTCCAGCCAAACAAAAAAGACAGGCATGTGAGTTGAACATTTACCTGAGGTAGATACACTCCTTAGATCAATCATGGTAGAAAGAAGGGCTGTTTATGCACAGGGAGACGGCTCAGCAGGCAGGAGTGCATGGAGGGATAGACAAAGGGAAGAGGTAACTATTGGGAGGAAGTAGGAGGAGAGCTGTTGCATTGGGGTAAATTGTAGTCACTGTCATCAAAGTGTATGTGAACTGTTATATGGAAAGTGAATTTGCTCTGTAAATTTTCACCCAAATCACAATTTAAAAAAAAAAAAAAGTAACCCAGTAATTTTGCACCTAAGGATGCAAAATAATAAATATTTTATTATATTTATTAATATAATAATTATTATTAATATAATAAATATTACCTACTACTTAGCTTTGTAAAGCCTACAGTAATAATTGAGCATGTGACTGAATGTCCTGGTTAAGAAAAAATAAATAAATAAAAACCTGAAAGAAAATATGTTGAAGTCCATTGGATATAATTAGTCAAACTCTAAACTATCTTTTAACTGCTCATAAGACTTCAGACCACATGGTTTGATGGAAAGATCATGAGATTTGGGATTAAGTCTGTTTTATCACTTATCAGATGTGTGACCTTGGGCAAAGCATTTTACCTTTTTATGGTTTCCATTTCATCACCTGTATGATTAAAATAACACTTTCTCTTCTAATCTCAAAGTGTTTTGAGGATCAAATCTATGTAATAATGGAAGTTAATCTAATACTTGCTATAAAAACATGAGGAATTTTTGGTATAATAGTACCCAGTGATCCTTGCTTTGACATTGCTTTATTCAGCTGCAAGCAGCAGAAAATGAGAAAGTACGATGGGAACTAGAAAAAAACCAACTCCAACAGAACATAGAGGAGAACAAAGAAAGAATGTTGAAGTTGGAGAGCTACTGGATTGAGGCTCAAACTTTATGCCACACAGTGAACGAACACCTCAAAGAGACTCAAAGCCAATATCAGGCATTGGAAAAGAAATACAACAAGGCAAAGAAATTGATCAAGGATTTTCAACAAAAGTAAGCAGCTTCTGATGACTAAAGAATAGTTGTGTAAGTCCAAGGAATGTTTACATCCAGCAATTATTGTCATAGAAAAGATGACCTCAGAATTATCCTTCTCAGAAGCATTTACAACATATATAGCCCACTTCTATCATTTTTTTCATAGGAGATTATAGTTTGTATATTTTTAATTTGGGGCAACCAGTTGCCTCCTGATTGTTTCTGGTTTGGTTTGGTTTGGTTGTTGTTTCTGGATAGTCAGTCATTGATGGAAACATTTGAATACCTTTATCCTTTTTGAAACATCTGTGTGATTTAGAAGCAAGAAGGCCAACTGAAGTAATGCAGAATGACTTTTGGGTGTGGTGCATGCCAATGGCTATTAGGGCCTTGATCAAGGTACTTTCATCTCTATTAGAATCAGTAACCACAGAATTTTCCCACTGCAGACGGTGTTAATGTTGACTGGCAAGACCCCCTTCCCTGCCACTCTGCTCAGCAACTAGGAGAGAATCACAAGGGCCTCAGTTCACTGTGGTGACAGGGACTATACCACTCTCTGGTTTTGAATTTCAGCGGCCCTTTCTGAGCTTCTGCTGCATTGATTCTGTCTGTTGAATCTTGGTGCAATTTCAGAGAGACGGACCAGGAACATTTTGACTGGATATTTTCATCAATTACATCTGGCTAGCTAGGCCAATGAAAATTAGTGCTGGTACCGTTTCCATTCTCCTGAGAGGAGGGGCATAATTGGGATGTGAAATCAAATGTACACGAACTGTTAATGTAAAACAAATTTTGCTCTGCAAATTTGCACCCAAAGCACAATTAAAAAAAAAAAAAAGGAAAAAAAATGAATTCAATACATAACTATTTTAACTCTCCCTGCCAAAAATACAATACCTAATTCTACTTCGTCTAATAACTTTGTAATACCAAGAAAAATAAATAAATAAATAAAACCTCCCTACCATTGAGTCGATTCTGACTCATAGAGACCCCCTTGGCTTTCCAAGGCTGTGAACTTTACAGAAGTAGATCACCCCATCTTCCTTCATTGGAGCAGCTGGTGGGTTTGAACTTCCAACCTTCTGGTTGGCAGTCAAATGTCTTAGGCACTTTGCCACCAGAGCTTCTCAATTTTGTAATAGATTTTACTGAATTTACATATTCTATTCCAGGCTCTCAAAGTGGAGATATTTCTCTTTCCCTTCCTATCCTTAAGTGTGTGTTTCCCCACTCAGCTCCATCTTCATTGTCCTTGGGAAAAGCAATCTTCCGATTAAAATCCTACCATTTAATTCCATCAGTTTGTTGTGTGTATGACATTGCAAGTGTGAATCATTTCTATCTGACATGCTGTTACTACCACTAAATAACCCAGAGTGGGTCATTAGTGCAGTAGTGCCTATCTAACTGTCGGTACTCTAGAATCAGGAGCTATAAATGAAAATCATAATCGGCAGAATTAAAGCATTTTTATTTATGTTGTGACCCATTAAAGACTTTTTTATTTTCTTTCAAGATTGCATATATATCTTTTTTCTAACATTTTAGAAACCTTGACCGTCTTTTCCTAACGATAATTGAGTTTTGTTTGCTTAAATAGCTGTCCAGTTACTTATCTCACTGCAGTTTATTGCTTCAGATAAGAACTTTCACATTTCCTTATTTATTGAGTGTTTGATGCAATCACATCTATTATTTTCTTCTTAAGAGAACTTGATTTCATCAAAAGACAGGAAGCCGAAAGAAAGAAAATAGAAGACTTGGAAAAAGCTCATCTTGTGGAAGTTCAAGGTCTACAAGTACGGGTGAGTTATGTTCTCAAAATTACTAAATAATGAGATGACTTGGCCTGGTACTTGGAGGGGGGTACTAGAGTTTTATGAATGAATTTGTTTTTCCTAGATTAGAGATTTGGAAACTGAGGTGTTCAGGCTACTAAAGCAAAATGGGACTCAAGTTAACAATAACAACAACATCTTTGAGAGGAGAACATCTCTTGGTGACATCTCTAAAGGAGATACCATGGAGAACTTGGATGTCAAGCAAACATCTTGTCAAGACAGCTTAAGTCAAGGTTTGTTTAACTTCAGAACAAAAACATTTTTAATGATGGTGTGCTTTTTCCTTACATTCTTCTTTTTCTTAATGAAAAATTTAAACATTGAGAAAACCTTCATCCTATGGGAAAACAGAAAAGGTTTATCAAAGTAGGAATCTACTCTTGTATTAGCTCTTGTATTATTAAAAATAAATGCTTTAATGTAAAGAATTAACAAAATTCCAACTAAAGTCAAACTGTTGTTGTTGTATGCCGTAGAGTTGACTGGACTCATAGCGACCCCTCCTTGGGTTTCTGAGGCAATATCACTACGGAAGTAGATTGCCCCATCTTGTTAGCAGTCAAGTGCCTTAGGCACTATGCCACCAGAGCTCTATTTTCAAACCATCATAAAAGTGATAGGCTTGATAAACTGCATTTAAAATGACAGTTCAGCCATCTAGCATACAACTGTTGATCTCCTCCTATCCAGAACAAAGGGGAGTGAAGAAAATCAAAGACTCAAGGAAGCAATTAGTCCAAAGTACTAATGGCCCATCTGAACCACAGGCTCCTCTAGCCTGAGACCAGAAATGGTGCCCAGCTACCACTACTGACAGTTCTGACCAGGGATACAATAGGAGGTTCTGGTTACAATGAGAGAAAAATGTACCACAAAATTCAAATTCATAAAATAGATCAGACTTGCTGGCCTGATAAGAGACTAGAGAAACCCCAAGACTGTTGTTCTAAATCTCCCTGCTAAGGTGGAAGTAAAGCCATTCCCAGAGGCTGCCTCTCAGCCAAACAATAGTCTGGACTACAAAACAAATCATAACACCCATGAGGAATGTGCTTCTTAAAGCAATTGACCATATGAGACCAAAATGACAACATTTGCCCAGAAACAAAGAGGAGAAGGCAGGAAGGGGTAGGGAAACCAGAAGAATGGAAATGGGGAACCCAAAGAGGCAGAGCACTGAGACATGGTAGAGATTGCAACCAATGTCATGGAACAATTTGTGCATGAATTATTGAATGGAAAACTAATATGATGTGTAAACTTGTACCTAAAACAGAGCAAAATATTAAAAATAACAATAAAATCAATATTTGTGGGGGAAGAATCCTTGTTTAACATAGCAAGAATCATTTATTAAGGGTTTAGCATGTTCCAGGAGCTATGCACAACTCGAAGAATGTAATCGATGCCACTGAATTGTACATGTAGAAACTATTAAATGGGTATATGGTTTTCTGTGAGTAATATCAACAACAAAAGAAATAAAATGAAAAAAAAAAAAAAAAAAGACCACCATATTTAGGGTGATCCACACAAACCAAAACTAAAACCAAATCTGTTGCCATTGAATAGGTTCCTACTCAGAGTAATCTTATGGGACAGAGCACAACTGCCTCATAGGGTTTCCAAGGCCACTGTTGTCTTTGCAGAAGTAGACCGCCACATCTTTCTCCCTTGGAGTGGCTGGTGGGTTTGAACCGCCAACCTTTTGTTTAGCAGCCAAGCACTTTACCATTGTGCAACCAGGGCTCCCTTAGATATTACTGAGGACTCTCTCACAATTTTAAATCACTAGAATAAAAATCTTTTTGTAACATTTCAGAAGTCTTGACTGCCTGCTTCTAACACTTGGAATCCATTTAGTTAAAGTTTTGTGCTTTTCCTTGGTGACATCCTATGTGTATTCCTCACTTCTTCCCTGTCAGAGATCACAAGTTGTTGTCCTTCTGTGCCGTCAAGTCTTTCTGACTCACAGTGACTCTCTAGGATGCAGGAGAACTTCCCCATAGGCTAAAATCTTCGTGGGAGCAGGTTGTCAGCTCTTTTCTCCTGCAGAACCACTGTGGGTTCCGACTGCCAGCCTTTCAGTTAGCAGCAGAGTACTTAACCACTGTGCCACCAGGACTCTTTCAAAGACCAAATAAAAAGACTGAAACACTGCAACAGTTTCTGTCATAACAGGTTGTCTTCTGACATACACCAACCACAATTAAATCGCTTATTTTCTTTCCCACACTCATTGTACATAGATTAGGCATATCCACATATGAATGAATTTTGTTTTATTTCTGTAGTATATGTATAAATTACAAAATGTGTAAGAATGTGTAAAGAAAATTACTCAGAAAAACATAAATCTTTTAGTTTCATCTTTTAAGACACATCCATAGAAATTCTTGGAAAAAGAAAAATTAAAAGAATATTGGGTAGTAGGGTTGTCATGATGGACCTGACCAACTTGTAGGCAGTGACTAGACTGCAACAACACCTTGTTCATTAATGAGCTCTTGAATTTATTGATGAATTTCCTCACATATTAACATGTTACTAATGAGATTTTCCTGATAAACAAGTGTTTATATTCAATTACTAACTTTAAGAACTGAACTTTTAGTCATTAAAATTGAAAATACTGGAAATCTTCATTTAAAATTAAATCTATGTGTAGAGATTTGAATCCCTGCACTGCGTTTATGTCCTTTACATGGATTTTCCTATAACAGGATAGAATCTATAAATAAGGCCCTCTGGCTGCTGAGAGGAGGAGGATTTAGCACCAGCATCACCACAGACTGAGAAGCTGTGTGACTTCAGGAAGGTCATTCAGATTCTCTGGGTTGCTTGTACTGTTTACTATAAAAATAGTAATGCTTCTTTCTCCCCCACTTAATGAGGTATTTTGAGAATCTTTAACTTATTCTAGGAGAGGGAAAAGGCAATTTTATTGGAGCTGTTATAAAATTACGATTTTCATTTCTGGAACACTAGAAAATTGCTGTCGCCAAAAGAAAAACATAAAATCAAACCAATTTGTTTTTCTACCTTTTTTAATATTTGAATATTAAAATTAATTGTAGTTTATAATAAATGTGTCTCTGTTGTGGCATATGTGATGTATGATCAGTAAAGAGTAGCTTTCAGTGGTTTAGTTCATTTCTCTCAGTTCAGAGATCTGTATCTTGTCAAACATATAATTAATGGTATTTATTAAATTATATGACTACAGAAGATCAACAAACTATACTATTAACATGCTGATTCAGATCAAAACCTTACATTTCTTCTGAACCCTCTTTTTTATTCTACACCCTCCATTTTACCACATAATTATCAGTTTCCCTGGCAACACTGTCGGTTCACACTGAGATGCTGAGACTACTAATTCTTACTGAAACCAATCCATGCTTGTGCAGTCGAGGTAGAATCAGTCATCTCAGACATTAGTAGCATACATATCAAGAGTGCTCTTCCGTTTGTGCTGCCAAGGACAGTCAGTGATAAATCTTCTTGAATTTCAATTGCTTGATCACATAAACAAAAATGGCTTGGTCAGTAGCTAGATAGGAATGCTCTGGAAAGCAGTTTTCTAAATTGATCCTTTGTTTCTGTTGCTAGGGAACACTGAAATCCTAGAGATTTAGAAAGAGAGAGTAAGGCTGCAGACCTGACACAAGCCATTCAGCATTTAAAGATCCCCTGGCACCTTTTTGCAATAGGATGGGTGCAGTGGTTACAATCAGTTCCACTAGTTTTTGCCCATTAGATGCAGTAGTCATCCTCCCAAGCTCCTTTGGACAGTCCAGTTCTTATTTGCTTTACAAGCGCTGGAGTGTTTCATCATTTGGAGAGTGGGTTAGCATGCTTTTAGGTCTTGAAGCAGCTCATGAAGCAAAGGAATTGTCAATTGCAGGTTGTGGTAGTTAAGGTTGTGTGTCAACTTGGCTGGGCCTGGTTGAGTGACTGGGCAGCTGGTGGTAATTATTCCCCATGATGAGACTGGCAATCAATTCCATGGTGGGACCTACCACAAGCAGCTGAGTAACTGCTTTAAGAATTAAGTCTGCTTCCTGTATATGACAAGCAGCATTGGGAAGGGTCTCTAGCTTATGCCACGCTTGAAACCTGCATGTAGCCGTGTCGTTCAGAACCCTGCCATGCTCTGCCGACCCCTTTAATGGACTTGAAATAATGGCCTGCCATGTGGTTTGGTAACATTGGGACTGTGCCTTTTTACTTGTCAACCTTGGGCTTGTCAGCCTCAGCAGCCAGCAGCTGTCTGAATGAAGAAAAGCCTCTAGCTTCAGTGGGCTGGGAGCAGGAGACAGAGCTGAAGCTCAAGGTTAAGGGCTTTCACCCAGCCCCTAGAGCATGGCACTTTGAACTCAGGCTTAAAGCCTCCAAACTGCAAGAGAATGAACTCCTGTTTGTTCAAGTCATCCCATTTGTGGTATATTCCTGTCAGAGTGGCACTAGAACACAGAACACAAGTCAAGGAAAAACTGTCAGATTGAAATGGGGAAAGAAAGGTAAAGGGAGAGAAAGAGGGAAAAAGAAAGAAGAGGTAAGGAAGAGCCCGTAAGCAGCCGTTTCTTCACATGGACTCAAGTTCTTCTAGGGCAGAGCTTCCCAACTGGCAATGGATCAATTATGAGGCTCTCAATATTGAATTACTGTAAATTTTATAATGATAAAAAATTAAAACCATTTTCTAAACCATGCAGAATTTGACCACAGTTGAAATTTTATTTGAACACCATTTGTACAAACTAAACAAGTTCAAATATCTCATTAAAATACTTTTTTCTTACCATAATTGCATAAGACAAATGTAACTAATTTTTTCACCAACACTCATAAAAAGCCCCAAATTCCTTATGGTTTTTGCCAGTGTACTGGTTAAATACTATTTTCCATGTGTGCCAGGACATGAAACAATGATAATTTTACCATACTCTCATGTACCATGTTTGCCATTTCTTTATCCCTGTGTAATGCTGGCATATTTGACTTCCGTACCTTGCATCCTAGGGCTCTGAAGTGACTAGAATGTCTGTGGCTGCCCAGCTATGTAGGTCATGCTAGAAGAAGAGCAGAGGACAGTCCTGTTAACAGAAATCTTGATAGGAAAAAGCGTTGTAATCTTACATTTATTATAGTTCTTAGAAAAGTCACTTATACAACATATTCTTCCCAATAAGTTTATGATGATGTTATTTCAGATTCAGATATCTTT